ACCAAGACGTGCTATAGCTGGTAGCCAGTTAGTTGTAGAACGTCAGTACCGTCGGTCAGTGTCGTGCAATTTTATAGCATGTGCTGATTGTTTAGTAGCTGGTAGTGTTAGTGGAAATTATATAGTAACGTGCGCTCTAGTCCCTTCGTCCGTTTTCTTTTCTACAAATTTATCCTTCGCTCTCCATCCGAGTCTATTTTTGTTTTCTGTTATTTCAATTCGCTTAATCATAGCACGGGAAATACTGCCTTCTAACCAGAGATGTGCTCTGTCGGATTCCTAACAAAACGAACGTAGTTTAATATAATATTTGAAAAATGAAAGTGTGAAAAGTGAAGAAGATTGCAACTATGAAGGTTTTCCTTTACGATCGTTACACGTACATGTGCCTACTTCGAAGTACACGAAATTTACCAACTCAACTGGTGTATTGTACTGGATGATACTTGAAATGCATTGTCGCATGAATCTTGGATGCGGCCTTGTGACACCGAACAGTACTTACATAAATGTGAACTTGTTAAATAACTGAGATTCACTCAACGAATACATGTTATGTTGATTTTTGCTGGCACAGAAATTCAATGTCCTGCAAATCCAACGTCTCCTGTAAATGGCGCTGTGTCTAGTGGTGCTCGAGATCCTTTCACGATCAGAACATACTCGTGCAATACCGGATATCAACTATCTGGATCAACAACAACTGTTTGTCAAACAACTGGAGCATGGTCTGGGACACCACCAACTTGCACTCGTCAGTACTGTTGGTAGAATGTGTCACAACGTGCTACATTGTAGTCTTTTAATCGAGAAGCGAGCGTTAAAGTCAGCATCAACAATTATGGAAGCTTTAGAACAAGATTTTAAATGACTGAACACAGGTTAAACTTTTCTAAGTGTCCGCAAACTCTAACGCAGACACTTAAACATTTAGGGAACTTTACTTCCCAACTCCAAGCTCCAATAATGGTCTCCTCACTGCGATTCAAATTAACATTAAGATTAACACTACACCTCATTTCCGGCTCTGATTTTTGAGCATATTTGGGCTCTCCCTAACTAACACAGGTTACTAGTACTTTGATCGAGAGACGAGCGTTAAAGTCGCCAGCAATATAATGATATGGAAGCTTTTGGACAAGATGATGACTGAACACGGGACCGGAGGACGCTGCAGAACTGATCAGGTAGCTGCCCAGGAGTACAGTGACAACACAACACTGGCGTGGATTTGGGGCGATGCTCTAGATCTATGTAATCACGTTTTTTAGCCACGTATTGGGCTGCAGGACTTTTGCCAGCACCATCGTGACGTTGCAGATATGTGGCTTGATTATTGTAGTTGACGTTGATTTAGTGACTTCGGCAAGTTTGAGTCGTGTCAAGAAGTCAGGTAGGATTCAGTACTAGGCTGTAGTGGAACGTGAGTTGTAGTCTTTGCCGATTTTTCAGGGTGTCCTGGATTTGGTGTGCAGCGCTGTGGAAATGGCTTGCTGTGGAGGTACCGGCACTGGATGTTGTATCAAAGGTACGAACTCGTACCACGTGCCAAACCTAAACAAATTCAAAAATTGACTTGGGTCTGTGGGAGTCTGTGAGAGTACGCCCATTCGTTCCGTTGTGACAGATTCCAGGGCCACGTTGAGGGGCCCTACCTTACCACTCATGGCTGCTTCTGGACTTGTTTTAGGTTTTGATCCCGCGCACGGACAGAATGGGCACGAAAATGTGAAACAATTGTAAATGCATCTTTTGGCTCCTGGGTGACTCGCACACTGTGGCAATGTGTCGGAATTTTGTGTTTTTCCGGCCTGGAAAGCCTGTCAGTGAGGCGCAAGAACTTTAAATCATGTCCAGAGTGCCAGCATATTGGCAGGAGTGTGTGGTCAAAATGTCACTCAAATTCATTGAGAGACACCAAAGTTACGGTCAATTGAATTATTATTATTGTTATTACGAGCATTTTAGCGTTGAAGTCGACCGATAGATCCACTTCTTCGCTTGTGCTGGACAACGAAGGCAGGAGGATAACAAATGACACGCTGTGGGAAAAAATCAAACGATCACTGTATCAGTACCAAAACAGCACGAATCAGAAGAAAAGGGGCAAAGGAGCCGCAGAAGTATAAAGTCAGTGGTGGGTGAACAATGCAGTAGAGAGCATTGAGTGATGGTGTGGTGGTGTGGTGGTGTGGTGGTGTGATGGTGTGATGGTGTGGTTGATCAGCAACCATCCAAACATACAAGGTTACATGTACTTGTACGCTGAGAAGAAGACAGATATTGCAGTGTCATCCGTCCCTTACAGATCCTTTCTGTCACTCGTTGACACAGAGCTCGCCACTCGGCCCTATCCACTGTAATCTTCCTGTTTCTGTGCAAGTTCTCCAGACTACTCAGCTTTCCGGCATCTGCTGCCTCCAAGTCAGCAGATAGTGTACCCGGCAGGTTGGTCCTCCGCCGTCCTCTCCAGCCCTTTTTTTAATTGAATGCCATTATGAAATTTATGGGTAGGCTGCCCCTGAAGTGGTAATCTCGAAGAACTAACAACATCGAGAAGGAGTGGTGATTTTTTGTTCTTGTATTGGTTTCTCCTTTTCAATTGAGTTTTTTGAGCTTATTGATTGAGTTCTTTTTAATTATATAAAGATTGATTTGAAATTTTATTGGTTTAGGTTTGAAAATCTTTATTTTACAAATGCATTTTTCTGATTTCTTCTCCAGTGTATGATTTATTGCATTCTAGACCATTGTGTTAATTTGCCCCTAAAAGAGGCCTGTAAAAATGAGAACCGGGTTTGAAACCCTGCAAAAAAAAACAAAAAAAAACAAACAAAGAAAAAAGAAAAAAAGAGTGGTGTCGTTTATTCTCAGTAGCCAAAATAAGTAAAACTGCTCCTGCGAGCTGTGTTATTCACCCGCAATATCCTCTTAAGATCCATCCAGAAAATGCATTGTACTTGCCGTATACGTGCAACACTTGGTGAGATGTTCGCGACAAGCCTAAAGGATGATAAAAGGTATAATGAGAAAATTGGAGAGTAATGGGAATTGTTTTTTTTTGTCAGCTCTAACGCCTTCCTAGTATAAGAAGTCATTTAGAAAGCATACTTCGGTATGGACAACGTGTCTGTAACGTGGGAAATACTGCCTTCTCACCAGAGATTTGCTCTTTCGGATCCCTACCAAAACGAAGGGAGTGTAATGTATTTGTAAAATGAGAGTGTGAAAGTGAAGAAGATAGCAACTATGAAAGTGGTCCTCTACGACCGTTACACGTACATGTGCATACTTCGAAGTAGTACGAAATTTACCAACTTTACCTGGGCTATTGTACTGGATGTTACTTGAAATGCATTGTCGCATGAATCTTGGATGCGGCCTTGTGACACAGAACGGTATTTGCTTCGTAGCACATAAAATGTGAATGTTTAAAATAAGCGAGAGTAACTCATTGAATACATTTTATGTCGATTCTTTGCTGGCACAGTAATTCAATGTCCTGCATATCCAACTTCTCCTGTAAATGGTGCCGTATCTAGTGGCGGTCGCAATGCTTTCACGATCAGAACATACTCATGCAATATTGGATATCAACTGTCTGGAGCAACAACAACTGTGTGTCAGACAACTGGAGCATGGTCTGGAACATCACCAACATGCACCCGTCAGTACTGTTGTTAGAATTTGTCACTACTTACTACACTCTATTACTTTATTCAAGAGGCGAGCGTTAAAGTCAGCATCGATAATTATGGAAGCTTTAGAACAAGATAATGACTGAACACGGGCCCGGAGGGCGATGCAGAACTGATCAGGTAGCTGCCCAGGGGTAGAGTGACAACACAACTTGATTTTGGTTTTGGATTGATTTACTTTTATTTCATTTTCATTTTCATTTTAACTTGCCATATTTTGCGTGTGCATTTTGCCTTCTTGTTCTTTTATTCCATGGCTGGTAGCCCTCATTCATAATATTGGTTGACACCATCTCACCCATGAATTGAGAATAATAATAATAATATCCTGTGTGGATTCACAGGAAGTGTGAGTTACGAAGTCTGAAGAAAATGTTGAACGGCCTCTGCTGGGATGACGACTACACCATAGCTCAGTGGTTAGAGCATCGCTGCAGAAGTACAGTCATCACGGAAGCATGCTCTTTTTAAAACACACATGTGTTTGCACTGGTATTGATGAATAACTTGGTGTACTCATTGCCAATTTACTGTTATTCGGTCCCCCGATGAGATGATTATTGAAATATTTCAAAATTTCGAACAATTTCGGATGTACCTGAGGGATAACTACAAAATCCGTTGTGCTAATCAACTCAAACACACACACATACACACACGCACCATTAGTCGCACTTTAACCCATGGAAGGCTGTTGCAATAAGCTGGGGTTGTGCATAAGTAATGAAAATTGAATGTTGTGTTTGTCTTCCAAATGGGACTTGGTCGACTTCCCCACCATCTTGCCAACGTACGTATTATGACAATCGATTTATCTGCCTTCTATGTTTCGTCGCTTAGTCCGAGGAGGAGTGTGTGGGGGGGGGGAGTGGTTAACAGAAACTACAAGGATTGGGGCCGTTCATACCCAGTTGCCGAAATACGTAATATTGCTGCTGCCAGGTGTGTCATTCCCCTGTTACATCCCGGTGAGATCCACAATGATAACAAATATGATAGACATTCACTACATGCATGCTCACAGGACAGCAGGGCAGATTCAGAAAATGCGCTTCCATAGAATTGGGCACCATTGCCCGTTTGGCCTTGCGAAGCAAAATAAAAATCAGCAACAACAACAACTTCAAAAGAGAACGTTTTTTTCAGTGTACGGCTTTTGAGACCCACAAGTAAATCATGAAACAACTGATGCAAGGATGGGCAACGTGCATAGGATGCCATTTGTTCTTTTTACTTTTGTACTCTTTTAGCTTCAGATGAATGATGTATTGTACGTCTCTTACTCTTTCTATACAGGTATACAATGTCCGACGACTGTTCCTACGCCTACATTTGGAGCAGTTATTGCAGGAAGTAATGATGTGTTCAGCTCCAGGCAATATATCTGCAATCCTGGATATCAACTGCAAGGTAGTTCGCATACAATTTGTCTCTCAACTGGTGCATGGTCAGGTCCAACACCTATATGCAAACGTAAGGGAGAATTTGAGCAATCCAGATTCGCTTGAATTTGGAACTTTCCGTTTCAACACCGTGAATAAATTCATTTCAGGCTTCAGTTGGCCGAATCTGTTAGGTCTTTAACTCTTATCACTTGCTGCTTACAAGGGTAGATTTCCAATTAAATCCGAATTATACGAAAGCTTGGTCCATCTTCATCAATCTCCTGAAATTTATGGAGAATATGACACAAAAGCAGTAGTCACCTGTCCGCTCTCCTTATTGTTATCCTAGGTTTGGTGTCTCCTCGCTGTTTGTTCAGTTATAACACACGTTGCTTTTCTGGCCGCCAGCGTCGTCACCAATCCTCGGCGGCGCTTTCAACTGATACAGTGTTACTTGCACTGTACTTGTCACCAATGTTATTACTATCATGCATCGGCACTATAGATAATCGGAAACGTGTGTATCGACTCAAAGTGTTCCGCAAATGGGATAAGCCGTGGCATTAACATTACATAGCAGGTATAGTCTATAAGCACAGGAAAGTACTAACCCTCTCTATCACATCTATGATCGTTAATAAGCTATGAACGCCTTAGCTATGTACAGTGTATGTATGCCACTTCTGGTGACTGTAATATGCAGCCATAGCAACGCAATGTCCTGCCAATCCACCGTCTCCGGTAAATGGGGTCGTATCTGTTGGCGGTCGAAATGCTTTCACGATCAGAACCTACTCCTGTAACACCGGATATCAACTGTCTGGAGCCACAACAACTGTGTGTCAAACAACTGGAGCATGGTCTGGAACACCACCAACATGCACTCGTTAGTACTGCGTAATTGATTAATTTTACGACGGCCCAAAGCATGATCATAAAATCGTGTAAAGTATTAGTATTGCCCACCTAGACATTGTTAGGAAATTAGAGGCCACATGCCACGTACTGCTCTTTTCTCTCCGAACCTCAACACTTGCAAGCCAGATATGAAAGAAAGAAAGAAATCATCAGTCACACCACCGGGACTCGAACCAGGGACCTTGCTATTCGCGAGCAATGCTCTAACCAAACTGAGCTACAGTATGACTCTTATCCACAGTGATGGTAAATCTATCCTTCTTCGATCAATCCACATCTGGCTTGCATCATACTGGCAACTCACACCCATCAAGGGGGCCCTCGGCCATTCGCTTGATATAATGGGGAGCGCGTCCAACTATGTCCACTACGAGCAAATACAAATTTCAATTTCAAATTTGGACTTCACGGAGAATTTCAAAGTGTTAGGAAATTAGAGGACCTAGACATTTCCCATATATTCGGAAAAACATGTATCCCCCTTTTGGTGTGTGGTATCGACTTGTTATGAGCATTTGACGGCACTTACATGGCCGTTATTCAACATTTTATAATTTTTATTTTACACACATAACAGAGGCGAAGGCTGTGTTAGCTGTAACTTCAAGTTTCACGCATTTCAGCGGTCATCAGACAGCAGCATTCACAATCGAATTCTCTACGAGCAGGCCTATATATCTCATGCTAGTGTGGACGTTAGTGCATCGTGCGAAGTGAAGACGTGGTATTGGGACAGTGGTATTGAGTTGTTTGTGAGGTTAACGGAATAGGTGAGAATAGAGGCGATAGCAGGGCAGTGTTACCGAGTCATCGATGGCGATAGCGACAGTAGCGCAAGACCACATCAGGCGTGAAGAGGGAGAGAGAAAGCACTATGGCGCCAAACCTGACGTTACAGCTAACACAGCCTTTCGCCTCTGTTGTGTGTGTATACTGCTCTGTACATTCGTACATTGATTCGTGCATTGAGCCCTTTACCTCGAGCTTCCCAGACCGGCCTTGTTTGTACATTATATGTTATATTTTTACTTGGCTAACATGGAATGAATGGAGTGAATGTTTGAGTGCTCTTTCGACCTACACTCTATCTCGGAGATGGTCGATCATGTAGCTTAGAATCACTGCGAACTTGTAGATATTTGGTTTGTTGAATTTGGTTGCGATTTGAGCTATGACTGGTTGTTCATTCATGGCATAGGCGCACCGCTCGATTTCGAACTATCACCTCCACACGGCTATGCGTATCTCAATGACGTGTTAATGACTTTTATCTCAGTTTTAAAACACTGTCACACACAGTCAGGGTATCTCGAAAGGGCCCATAACTTGTTTCACTTAACCAATGTTCTGTATGAGTACTGAAAGTTGGATCTTGTTGAAGATAAGTGCTATAATTTTATTTCCTTCGATTTGTAGGTGTTTTGTGTAGAAGTCAAGTGGCTCCTTCTAATGGAGCTATTGCTAGTATGTCCTTGGAGATTAATGGTGCAACAATTTTCACATGCAATCCGGGATACAATGTATCCGGCAGCAGTGCATCTGTTTGTCTTCCCACTGGAACATGGTCGACTTCACCACCAACGTGCCAGCGTACGTATCTCCTATTATAGTTGTGATATAGTCAAGTGGTTTGCTTCACTGTCCGAAGAGTGCTCAATACCCATGTAGGGCAGAGCGTTGTACACAAGAGAGAGAGAGAGAGATTTGAAGCTTTGTCACAATTCTGCGTTTCACGTATTGCTACGATCATCGTGGCCTGATGATCGTAGTAATACGTAAAACTCAGAGTTGTGACAAAGCTTCCAATCTCTCTTGTGTATAGTTGTGACAGTGGAAATACCAGGAAAGCTGTGTTACATGCTTGTCTTGGTAAAACAAAAATTAATGCTGCCATTAGTGTCAGTAGCTCCTAGGCGTGGCAGAAGCTGTCACAATATAATAATTATTCCCGTAGCTATGCAGAAGACGTTACAGAAGACGTTACTTCAGAGTATTCAGGAGTGAATACTCTTGGGTCCACCCGCGTGTTGGGCTGTGACGCTGGATATATACTTCAAGGATCCAGTCGAGCCATTGTGTGTCAAGCTGACAAAACATGGTCAACGACTAGTGCTACTTGCGTCCGTACGTTCTTAACGTTTTTTAATCTTTCACTGGTGGCTGCTTGGTTAACGACTACACCCTAGTTTTGTATCAGAGCATCGTTGGGCATAATCGAGAGTTACTTCTTCTAGACCTAGAGTTGACAAACATTTTTTTCTCCAGACTTCCCGTTTGAAACTTTTCCTCAAGCGAATGAATGAGCTCATAATGACAACTGTAAATTTTAGAATTGTATCCTGCTCTCAAACCAATGAATAACTTGTAGAAGGTATGTTGTGTTGGACATTGATTATCAGGCCACCTCTCCGAAAAACACGACAGCCTTTGACCACAGTGTTTGTCATCGCACCATTTTTTCTTGCCAAATCTATAATATCCGTTAGACAAAACCGATCAACAGAACGCAAAATCACCCCATAGCATTCCTCTGCACGTAACGCAATGGAAAATGCTCATTTGTTTGCGAATTGGAACATGTGAAAAAGTTCTATTGTGTTTAACATCCTGCTTGCAGGAGTGTTGTGCCCTGACCTCTCTGCACTTGCAAACGGAGCAATATCCGCTGGTAACAACGAGGTGTTCACCGTGCGACGATTCACATGTAATGCAGGGTTCAATCTTGTAGGTAATCCAGCAACAGTGTGCTTGCAAACGGGAAGTTGGTCCGATGGTACACCTCATTGTATTGGTAAGTTCACTCTTTGGGCTTTAGTGAAATAAGTTTTAAATTTTCTAATGCAATGGCAGTGATTTTGCTGGTCGCGACTGGTATTTTTATATGAATTTCTGTCTTGCATTGTGGTGGGTTATAATAATTGCTGTTTGCTGATATGCCAGTGTAGGTGCAAATGAAGTTTGATTAGGGGTTTGTGGAACTATGTCTTAGAGACAATGCTCAATGTTGCCAGTGTTGCCGTAACATTAATGTTTTTATGCCATGCCAGCCGGCTATTATGAAGTCATGTATGAACCCACAAAGGTGTAGGCAAATATCGTATTACATACCCACAGTATAACTACGGCAGGAAGATATTGAAATTACCAGAACATGTGGTATACGTACAGGCAACCAAATGACACGGCAAACGTGTTCCCAGAATTACGTGTTCGAATGTTGAAAATATTGTCAGAGTTCAGAGCAGGTAGAAGGAGGACGTCAGGAAGGATCTATTTGAAGGTTGAAATAAAAACTGGCGGAAACCACCAATCGCTAATTGGTACAGCTACCCAAAATCCATCAATGAAGGGGACTCTCAATTGCAGCTCGTCCCCTTGTGTTGAATTTGAAACGTCTTACTTCACAATACATGCCTTCTGAATGTTTTAAACTACTTTTCTTTCAATATCGTCAATCTCTCACAGAGAAACCAACCACGTGCCCGAAATTGCTAGCGCCAGCCAATGGATTTATTGATAACGGGAGCCTAGATGTTGGGTCCGCCCGTGAATATTCATGTGCTGCCGGTTACATGACAGAGGATTTACTACAGACGGCTTGCTTGAAAAACGGACGTTGGTCTCAACCGGTTCCAGCCTGCTATAGAGGACCCACCACAGGTAGGTCATAACTACGTTTTTGTCATGAATGGTTTCATCTAAACCGAGCCTTACACAAGTTAGAAATGGAGCTAGAATAGGAAAGTAAAATATGGTTCGGCACAATTTGTGGTGGGTCTTATCTACTCACCTCCCACCGCATCAGGAGGGCTGATGCGGTGGGAGGTGCAGGAGATGCTTCTGCGCCTTGTTCCTTGATGATTGTGGCGGTTCTACGTATGGGGTCAAATGAGTCTGATTCTCACGCGAAACGTGATTTCTGTTCGCCAGCATTCCCTGAACGTGGTGCACTGGGTTTGCTGTAGACCACATATGAAGCAGTAGTTCTACAAAACATATAAAAAATACATGTACTTCGGGATCTCACAGTCTAGTATTCCCCTCTAGTTGTCCTGCCCTACCACAACTCAATTCACACGTCCATTGAAAGTTCACTTTAGTGGCCAATGTTAAGATGATCCTTACCCTGAGAGATTCCTAAGCTCACTGTGGTTGTTGTTCTTCATTTTGTTTGAACAACAACAACAACAACAACAACAACGACGACGACGACGACGACGACGACGACGACGACGACGACAACAACAACAACAACAACAACAACAACAACAACAACAACAACAACAACAACAACAACAACAACAACAACAACAACAACGCGTCGACGACGACGACGACGACGACGACGACGACGACGACGACGACGACGACGACGACGACGACGACGACGACGACGACGACGACGACGACGACGACGACGACGACGACGACGACGACGACGACGACGACGACGACGACGACGACGACGACGACGACGACGACGACGACGACGACGACGACGACGACGACGACGACGACGACGACGACGACGACGACGACGACGACGACGACGACGACGACGACGACGACGACGACGACGACGACGACGACGACGACGACGACGACGACGACGACGACGACGACGACAACAACAACAACAACAGTGAGCACTGTTTTTCTTCACACCACCTATCCAGGTTATCTAATCTTGTCACCCGAGTCTTACATCCTTTCTCCCTTTCCATCGTCATCATAACAGTGGGCATGATTGCCCGTTTGACATGCGATGTACACTAAAAACAAATACAAAATTACAATAGTAAACAAACACACTCTGAGTAGGAAGAGTATAATGGTTCTCTTGATTGTGCCATTTCACCATTAGAATACTAATCAGTTGAATATGCACCGGTCTAGTGTCTACGTTTCTGGACTTTGGAAACATATCCCATTGATCCTAAAACGCTTCATGAGCTTTTGAAAAAGAAACGCCTAACAACTTTGTTGAGTGTGTTGGCTAGTGCAGTTTTATCGGTATCCTGTTTCTTTATGCAAGAAAGACTTTCCTCGCTTTAATCTGGTAAATGTTTGGCAACGGGTGCAGTGTGGAGTGGAGGATTTTTTAAAGCGTTTCAAAATACTTTTTGGTGAAAAAAAGGAGGACAAATTGTTACGAGTTATGACTAACTGTCCACCAACGTAACCAGATCTTATACAGTCAGCGAGTGCGACAAAATGGTACAAAACTGACGAAGGAGTACCGAGACATTCGGCGACCTGACACCTAGCTCCAACACTTCTCCAAGGCGCAAACCAACAACCTTCCAACTTGGAAGGCTCAGTTTTGTGCCATTTTGTCGCGCTCGCTGACTGTATAAGACCTGGTTATGTTGGTGGACAGTTAGTCATAACTCGTAACATTTTGTCCTCCTTTTTCACCATAATTTAATTGGCTCACCACCCGAGTTAAATTACTTTTTTCTCAGTTTTATGTGCGGGATCGCGTTGACGTATCCATCCTCCATCAAAATAAAGTCATGCAAGAACAGGGAAAGAGAACATTGCGTATAGGACTAGAAGGAGAAATTATGGTGAAGTTCGCAAATGTGCGACTAAGGTAGACAGCAGGCTGTGATTTTGTTCATAACTATCAAATCTTGTTATGTGCCTTTTTTTCGTCCTCAGGTGCACAAACAACAACATGTTCAACATCTTCTAATGTCATTGCAGGAGCAATCGGCTTTTTTATTGGCTTGTTAATTCCTGGTAGCTTTGTTCTAGTTCACCTTTTCCGCTCGCGACGCGGGAGTAAGAGAATCACGATGACAGACAACATCGGCCAGCCACCGACCATTTTCAGGAACCAATTGACCAAGAGTCAAGCATATGGAATGGACCTGACCACGATTGAGCCGACCCAAGAGCCAGAGTATGAAGCGGTAGAGCAAACCTAATCTCCTGTTACTCTCTTCTATCACTTTTTTTGCGTTTGGAACACAGCGTGCCAAACAATTTTTGCACTTTCCTCATCCCTAACGTTAGCCTATTGACATAGTGCAAAGCCCAAACCCGCAGAAAAGGCACAGAGTGAACTTATCACAAAATTCTAAATGATTCTTTCAATGGCGTTCTATTTTATACGTATAATGCACGTTTTGGGAGTCTTATTTTATCAGATAGCATGAGAACATCAACATCTTTTAAAAATTATTTTGGTATCGTTCAATGTCTCCATTGCTTTTATCCAATTTGTTCACAGTTAACAAACTTCGAATTTTGTTATGCCCACCATGTTTGTACCCATTGTTCAAAATTCCTTACCTCATGCTTTGGGCCATTAAATACGCCAGCGGTTGAAGGATCTGTTAGACCCATCGCAGGGTTGAAAGCTCCTTTCCACGCAGTTCAGCTAGCTCCTTTGATTCAGCTTTGATCAAAGGGATGTGCATATTCTTGCATCTACTCAGAGCACTTTGAGAACAATTTTTGGGCAATTATCTTGTTCCTTCAAGTGTTTATTCCATTTTTTATATCAGGGCAATAAAGGATACAGTATTATTGATTATTGTTGTCAACATGCCATTTCGTTCAATGTGTATGTGGCTTTTTTCCTTTGATTTAACCACATGGTATTATGAATAGTCACCACCACTACGCAAAGGTCGTTTAACCACATTGCTTGATACCATTCGATGATTGTTTGAGTATACACACTTTCACATGCTACACACAACACAATTCTAACTCGAATCTGACTACTAACGGATGTCACGAGTTTAAATCCGCTGCTTGTTGCCTACGCCATGTGATCTCTGCTACTGTACTCGGCGTGATGGCGGCATGGATGCAGCTTACGGGGTTTGATCTCCTGCTGGGAAAATGGTGTTCTCAATTACTCACTCACCCTCGCAGCTAGGCGCTGAATCTGCCACGCTATGCAATCAAGCATGGTGGTGGTCTAACGTAGCGAATTCTCCTAAGTGGGCGGTGTCTCTTGGATCCATTGCATACTAGAAGCGTATGGTAACGCAGATTCGCGTAGTGTACCACTTACGCAGCATTGGTGGCACTATGGCATTGTGTACTGCATGCGTTAGGGTCTTTTTCTGCGCCTTGTCACGGAATCCAATTGCATTCTCCCTTGCCCAAGTGAAGGTAATTATTATTGCCCGCTAGTAGGGATGACAAATCAGAGTTGATCTAAGGAGAATATGATTGAAAACGTTCACACACGACACATTTAATGTCCGCTTCCGTGATACTTTTGATCGCACTTATGAAAATCTTGCATCCACGTTTGTCCTTGCCTTGAATACTAAGCAAATCTGGTTTATAGAAAAGAAGAAGGAACAATGAACTACACTTGAAGTTAGGCTATAATGTCCACCAACACCACCAGTTACTAAACAATCAGCTCATGCGTTAACATTGAACGCCACACGGTGGTCATTGCTGTAATTTGTATCGCCACTCGCTTATACTCTGATTATCATGACATTCGGCGCTGAATAATGTGCTTTTTGTTTTGAATTTGTTTTTACCTCGGCTGTATTCCCATCCCCTGATAGTCGATATTATCGCTATAGGCTGAATTTTTATCGCGCTGCCTCTCACACCCAGCTCTGACTGATAGGGGAGTTGGCCTTTATCAATGCTGGTTTGAGAGCTTGGAGCCTTGGACTCTCTCTCTCTCTCTCTCTCGCTCGCTCGCTCGCTCGCTCTCTCCCGCTCTCTCTCTCTCGCTCTCCCTCCCCCCCCCCACTCTTGGTGCGTCTAGGTGGCTATGAAGTCGAGTCCCTAGGTCGGCGGAGCTCCCTAAACCTCACCACCACTGCCACGATTCAGGTTGTGCGTGCTTGCCCTAGCTGCATCTCATGTTTGGCATTAAGTGGTCTTTGTAAAAGAAAAGAAAAAATAAATAAACATCATTGTGAATCTGATGAAGGCAATGAGCCGAAACGTTATAATATTGTGAAATGAGTTGATTTATTGCAGTGTTAATGGAAGAGAGCGTGTGGGCTCTACTCTTACCTCTTGTAGCTTTTTGGTTCTCTTTTCTTCTTATTTACTTGATTTGATTCGTCTTACTCACTGGCCTGGATTTTGTCACCATTGCTTTCTTAGAGTCGCGCGCTGAAGAACGCGGAGCCCAAGAACGCCAAGAAAATCTAAGTTGTTTCTATAAGAACGCAGCCAGATTGCTGAGAAATAGGAACGTCCCAGTCTAACACCTTGGAAACAACGTTCTTGGGCGTGCGACTCTACTGCAGCGCTCTTCGAGCTCTTCATCCCGTGTATCGTCCCCAGTTTCCGACACCCAAGTTTATTATCAAACAAACGCAAACCTATTATCCTGTACTACGAAAAGGAATCTCTTGGATCCAGAGGTCAGTCGTGGCTCACCTCCTATCTCAACAATAGGACTCAATCAGTCAAGTTTGGTCCAGTTCTCTCGGATTTTTCCCTATTTGCTCAGGTGCACCGCAAGGGTCCACTCTACAATTACACGACCGTTACTTTTCCTGGATTTCGTCAACGACCTCCGTGTCCTTAACCCTGGCGTGTCTCTGTTTGCAGACGACACTTGTATGCTGCGCAGTAGTTAGGGTCCAGCGGATAATGCCGGCATTATATTCGGCATTATAAGACAATCCGAGCATCAGAGCATTATGGAGCATTAGAAAAGAACAAAACGAGCATTATGTAAGGTTTGAGCGGCATAACGAGTTTCATAGTAGATAATATTATCGGGAAATCCAAGGTTTTTGGCAACAATCGGCTACAGTCATGGTCATGAGGTGCAACCTTATGCATTCTACCGACACACAACTTTGTGATTGTGTAGAAACGTAACACCTTTAGCACTGATGCTACATAATTATAATTATACAATGTACACTTACCTGACCACATTGCTACGTAAAGACGTTATGATTGTAGCGATGTGGTCAGGTAAATGTATACAAGCTGTTGGCAAAACTACTGCTGTTCAACCACCTGACACCTCTTTCTACTGTGTGATTATGTTATCATTCATGGCCGTTAGTAGTGATTCCCGTTGTATCCATGCTGCTGGTTGCACTTGTGATCATCATAACTGTATTGCGTGAATGCATGATCCTTCTCGTGTTTCATTGCGGTGCCACTATGGATCTATGGCCCGATGCTTAGGTTATAGTGCATTGTAGACTTACTTTTCTTTGTGTAGTTTCAGTCCACACCGCGGACTGCGTGATCTGCCTGTAGCTGTGCACAGAATCCTGACGCTGCGCGCGTGGTATTTGTTTCTTTCGCTTCCGGTGCATTCTTACTGTACGGTGTGGATCTACCCTTGTGCATATATTAGCCTGTAGCACTCTTTAGTCGGGGGCTTTTTTCCTTTGTTCCTTGTTGGCAGAGTGTGCAATTATTTAGTTGTGTGAAAAGAGAATCTTCCAATACTCAACTTCAGAACTCGTGGATGTTCTAAACTTGTGGGGTACAGTTGAGCCCTGGGCTCGACTTGTACAAGAAACACAAGCCATGCATGTAGCATGCCCAACCGAGGCAGTTGCACATATCCGGAGAAATGTCAAATGGTTTACGAGGTTTTTATTAGATTAGTGGAGAGGTATGGAGGAGACGTACAGACTGTATGCGAAGTGCATATCAAACAGACGGAGAGGAGTTTTCTCGTTGTGCCATAGGCTCTGGCGATAGCATCTCTAGGGATACTAAAGTAGACACTGATGCATTGATAAATTTGGACCAGGATGAAGGAGCGGCTATAAACAGAAAGAGCTCGTTCGAAAAGAACTGCCTTTGCCGGGTACAGCTGAGGAGGCTCGAAAACTAGAATTTCTCATGGACTCAGTGCCGCAAGTCGATTTGAGCGCTCAGCAGCGCATGTCTTGCTTTCCTGGTGAAGCACGCACAGTTAGTTGTTGACGAATGTAATGCCAGGCCTACAGTCAAATGCTACCAGACAAGAAAAGTATTGTGGCCAACCATATGTCTACACACCATCTCAAGGAGAAGAAGACAGCACAAGCAAAGATGTAGAGCGGCAAAATAACTTCTGATCAAGTGTTTTCAGGATTTTCGTAAATGGGAGGGATCTCGATCTGAGATCGGCTCTCAGGAGCTGGCCTGACTTCTGGTGTTTCAGATGAAGACATTATACACAGAGTGGAAGCAGTGAAAGCTTGTCTGCCGGCAGGAATACTATTTGCCAAGGTAAACGTCATCCCAACAATGAATGACTACCCGCAATAGTGTTTTCGACTCTCCCGGCCTACATGGATAATAAGGGGAAATATTTGATACAACACCGACTATTCTGCCACAACCCTGCATCAAAGTCGGAATGTAGAGCAGCCAATGGAGAAGTAATCATGTCTTAAAGTGCTAAGAAGTGGTGGAGCTCGTGAGAGATAAGGTGGCAGCTTCAGTGGCAGATCGACGATATGCATAATTTCCTAGAAGTTTGACAATGTGCAGACTTTCTTCCATTTTTGTACCAAACCAAGAGCATTATATCCCTTGCTGAAGCATTATAATCAGCATTATAAGGTAGTTTTTGGAGCATTATGGTTAGCAATATACGACCATTTTCGGAGCATTATCCGCTGGACCCTAGCAGTAGTCCCTCTGTTTCCCGTCTCATATTAGACCTCCAAGCGGGTATCACGGATATCACCTAGTGGATGGCATTGTGGAAGCTAAAACCTAACGTCGGGAAGACCAAGGTAATGATCATTCCCCCTCTGTCTACTACTCTCTACTACCCTCTCCCTCCCCTAGTATTCCATTTCTCCACCACTCCCATAGAATATGTAGATCGTCACAGGCATCTTGGTGTCGTTTTTGACACCTATCTCTCCTGAACTCACCATGTTGCCCACATATGTACTTCGAAGTAAGAAGACTAGTCAAGTCATAGGTATAATTATACTCACACCGTGCCCACCTTCCTGACAGCTGCCGTGCTCTTTTTTATAATGCATATAATTATCTTGCCGCATTTTGACTACTGCTGTACTGCCTGGACAAATCTATGTATTGCCCAACAGCAGAAACTGGAAATTCACAATCGTTCCCTCCTTAAGATTCTTTATCATATGCCCAAGTCCCCTTCTAGTGCCGCTCTCTATATGTTATCCTCAACCAGACCTCTCCTAGAAAGACGACGAACCATGGTCCCCTACTATTTATAATTTTTTTAAAGTAAATTATCGTATCCGTTCCCGAAGGGAACTCACGACGGCCGCTAACACCCGATAAACCCTAGCGGCAGATGCAGCGCCTAAATACTTATTATTTACGTAAACGACTTACCTGCAGTCTTCCCTGGAACGTCTCTGTTTGCTGACGACACGACCCTTCTCACCTCATCAGCTTCCCTCACTGGCCTGAAAAACAACTTGCGTGCTGGCATTCAGGAAGTTCTTTCCTGGATGTCGTCTTGGAGATTGTCCCCAAATCTATCAAAAACAAAGATCATGCTCTTCACGCCCCAGCCACAGTTCACAACCCTCATCCATGCCAACTTTCCAAATCCAATTGACATAGTGTCTTCTCACAAACACCTTGGCATTGTGATTGACTCTGCACTCTCTTGGGTACCCCACGTCGAATATATCTGTAAAAAAATCAAGTAAATCCCCCCACTGCTACTACCTCCCACTTTCTTGCAAGCTTCATTTTTATTTAGCCTACCTTCGCCCAATAATAATTTTGATTATGCCGATACGTCTTGGGTTGGATTGTCCTCTTCCGCTGCTGCAAAGCTTTATTTATTTTATTTATTTATTACAGCATCTCATAGCACAGTGAGAACACCGGCCAATACAAAGAGAGAGGATGTTAGCCAACCACGGCAAGGAAGGGAGAAGGGAAGGAGAAGAAAAAAAGGAACCGGCATGGATAAGTAGTGATTCCAACAAAATGAGAAACACAAAATGAAAGTCAAGGCGCGACAAGGATCTTAAAAAGGCGGAGGGAAGAAAGGTCCTTAGCTTCTTGGGGAAGCGCCAGCCACGCAGAGTACGCAGTGAAAAAGGGAGAGTGAAGTAGAAAGGAGGACTTAGGTTTCGGAAGGGAAGGGAGTTTCTCGTGCTACGGGAAGAAAACCAGTTGAAACAGTGGAGGTGAGGTGGACACGGATTGAGTTTGAGAGAATGGATAAGGGTGACAAGATGTGAATTACGTCTCTTAGACAAAGGGGTAGTGTCAGCAAGGGCGTAAAGGGTGGAAGATGGGAGCATGCGGGGTTTTGGAGGAGGATTTTGAGAACCTTTTTGTGGTGAATTTCGAGCTTGGCAGCACGGGTTGTGGAAATTCCAGCCCAAGCAGTATCTGCATAATCAAAAATGGGGCGTAGGTAAGCTGAGTAAAAGAGGAGTTTACAAGAGATTGGGAGATGGTAACAGTGAGAAGAGAGGATTCCTAAAGATGAACTTGATCGTTTATATATGTAATCGATGTGGGATTCCCATGAAAGATTAGAGTCAATGAAAATGCCAAGATGCTTATGGCTGGAGACTATGTCTATAGGCTGGGGGAAAAGGGGATAGAGGAGGGGCGGAACATCGGGCTGAGAAGGAAAGAGCATGATTTTAGTTTTAGACAGATTGGGCGATAACCGCCAAGACGACATCCAGGTAATTACTCTTTGAATCCCGTTAGCTAGGTTACTCATCAGGCCAGTGATGTTAGGAGATGCCCGTAGGAGCGTTGTGTCGTCTGCGAACAGTGATGTGCCCGGGGCAGCTGCGGGCAGATCATTGACGTATAAGATAAAAAGAAGGGGGCCGAGGATGGAACCCTGGGGAACTCCGGATAGCTTGAAATACACCACAAGAGAATCCTTAAAATTCTCCTCCGTCAACCCCGCATGATCTCATCATCCGGCATCCGCCCTTTATAAAATCGCTCACACAACCCCGTTATCTAGGCCTCGACCAAATATGCTAAAAAAAAGAGCATAATTATTATGCTCGTCGCATATCAGGGAAAACGGCCATAGCATGCCAAAGGCTTAGCAAGATATGCAAAAGATATGCCAAAATATGCTCGACATAAGCAGAAAGTGTAGATCATTTCAGCAAAATTACAACCTTGGAATAGTCATTGGCTTCACGGCTATCATGCTTATGGTGCAAATCAAAACATATGCGGAATAGTGTGGCTGGGGTATGTCCCTAGCAACCGTAGCGATAGTGTTCATCCATGGGGAAATGTAGCAAACGCCTCAACCATTCCAAATTCAGTTCATCCATGGGGAAATGTAGCAAACGCCTCAACCATTCCAAATTCATCCATAAAAGGCATTTCTGAACGCATTTTGTCTATAACATGAATGTTTTTCCTCATTTTCTTCAAACTATTTGCATTATATGCTGGCTTCATTCCAATATTCCCTTTGTCGTCTCAATATGCCAGATATGAACTGTCTCACAAAAATATGCGGAAATATGCGCAAGCATATTTGGTCGAGGCCTACCGTTATCACATGGACGCAGTGCTCACCTGGCTTCTCTTGCCCATTCTATTAAGCTTGAGTTGTGCCCACCTCATCTCATGTGTTTTAATTGGTTCTCTTCTCTAAGAACTAGAAACTCGCTCTTACTCCCTAAGTGTAACTCATCCACTCTTTTGCGCTCCCCTCTCTTTATTGCTTTTTCTGTTTGGCTCACTCTACCCAGAGATGTTAAGGATCTGACCTCACTCCGCCTGTTTAAGATCCGAGCCGCCCCTTATTTACTACGGCATAAATAGCTCACTATCCACATGTCCTTAGCGTCTCCGTGTTTTTCACTGTTTTTATTTGACATTATCTTTCTTTACGGAGTTGTTGTTGCTGTTCATTTTGCTAATCTTTCTTTTTCCCTCCCCTAATTTTTATTTATCGCCGTGGTTGGCAATCACCCACTCTCTTAACATTGGCCGGTGTTTCCACCGAGTCTTGAGATGTTGTAATAAATATAATACTCAATCTGCGGACAGAACTGTTTCGTCCTTTGTGGACTCGTCAGCGCAGCACAGAGGAAATGAGGCCGAACCTGATAGCAATGGAAATAAAAATTTCCAATCAGGCCCGAACGTACCTTGCCAGAGTGCTCAAACTGACAAGTCAGTGAGCTCTGCATAACGCAAACAGCAATAATAAATATAATATAAATATATGATGTGCTGTCTTATCCATCGTATTCGACTTTCCAAAATACCCCCGCATCTTAAACCATTTGACTGGTTCCGACGGGATAGCTCCACTAGGAACCAACCCTCCCTTCCTCTAGCCCGCTCTTCTGCATGGCTACACTCCCCCCTTTTCAATGGCTTTAAATTTTGCATTGGCTTAAGCTGCACCAGGAGACAAAGGGCCTTTCCAAGCATTCAGGAACGCCTTGCTTTACCAGTAGACTACAATTTTAGTCCATAATGCTTCTTTCTTATTTTCCTTTTCTCTTTGACTTCTTACTCTTTTCCTTGTTAGCCGTGGTTGGCTATAAAACCCTGCAATCGCCACGCAAAGTGGTCATTGGCTACCCCAGCCATGCTTGGAATAAAATAAATAAAGCAGTGACTTTCCCACTCTAGAAAGGTAAGCCTGACCTCCCGTTTTGGAACAGTCACTGAACACGCAGACCATAACGGGAATCTTTGAACGCACTCCATTCGCTGAGGAATGATGACTAGTCGACTCGTAGTGGACTAGATTCAATACGATGAGCCTTGTATGGGGTGCGAAGCTCTCTACCACTGTACCAGGAGTCATATACGGGGCCAGTGTCCTCCTTTGGGTAGCCGGAGGATCAATGAGGGTGACGTGTACAAATTTGGTGCGGAATTTGATTCTTTGAGAGAGACGGATTATTGATTACACAACGCAACATTCACCACTGCGGGCGTTATGACGCGTTTCCCGTACGCGAAATGAATAACAAACAGGTCTAAATCGGGCCATAGATGGCCAGAAGCGATACGTGTGCGCTTATATAGCGCAACTAAGCCCGAATTATACTTTGTGCTGCGTACGGGAAAGTCGCTACAACGCCCTTCGAAGCTTCGTGACCAAGGAGTTGCCTTTTGCAAAAATCAGGCGACTTTCGCCAGCTCACACTCATCGAAAAGCGTTTCCTTTCACGAACGGGAGAAAAATAGGGGGAATGCCGAATGGGAAAATGCTTAGAAGAAGATTAATTGTAAGTCAAAAGTTTGAACTTGATGAATGCAACAGTTTGAGAGCAGGGGCACCAGCACCCAGTATGGGCTTAGTGGAAGCGATACTTGAACAATAACTATAAGCTACCAGTAGTATTGAGAGGAGCTGATCATACCACAGTTGAATCGGAGAGTGCGAAATCAACTGAAAATGAGGTGAGTGAAATGTTACCAGTCGGGGTATGGCTCAATGGTTTTCTAAGCTAGTGTAGGACGAGCGGTGAGGCATATTGCGCTCCTCCAGTGTGGGACGGTGATCGACACCACTGGCCTTTCGTAAACTCCAGAATCAGCGTCTGCTACTCCAATGATTGAAGACGAACCTCCAAAATTCATATCGTAAAGTATCGATACAAATCCGTTGATCCCCGAGCTGCAGAGAGTGGGCAGTGTCATAGACAGAGCTTAGAGTTTAGTTTACTGGTCTGATGATGTCTAGCGGCAGGTTTCGACCTGAACGTCCTCCGCCGAGTCTGCTAGGTCAGAACAATAATCGATACGTAACAATCCTTGATACCGTAGAGAGCTGGAGAGCAAGTTTAGTTTGCTGATTTTCGTGTCAGAATCCGCGTCGATGTGTGGCACACATAATGACACGCATTGGGACACACATCATAATATGAGCCAGAGCACGCCAAAATATGACCACAGACCAAAAATTTGATCTTCAGTTTTTTGTTCAAAAATGATCTAACACGCCTAATGTTCACTGTCGGAAAGTTTTGGATTGATCCGACATGTCTAAGTGTTGCTACAATGGTATTATATGCAGCACTGTTGAAATGGTGAAATTCTATGTACAGCAATGGGATTGTCATTTTTGCACACAATTGATATGCCCCTTGGTTCATCCTTTCCGGGTCAGTTCCTCTGTCCAGGGTCTTATAGCATGAGCTGACAGGTACTCAGCCACATCCAAATTGTCTATAGGCAGCTGAGCTGGGTGTCCGAAATACCTCCTGTTTGGAGCACCACTGGAGAACCGCCAGCGAAAACACGGTCAACATCTGTAGATGGCCGAAGAAGTTGGCACTCCATGTCCTCTCCATCACACTCCACCTGTACTTTCAGATATACAGTATACACTGCTGCACACAGTGTTCCTCAACATACTAGACGTCGCACTCATATTCCTCACACCAAAGCCCATCTGTACACGGTTTTCTCCGCTCGCCAGAGAGTACTGCTTTCGCTGCATACTGCTCATGCTAGCGATGTTCCGCATAAGGGTACTCAAATTATCGACTTGAGCAAGTTGAGGTAGCAGCAGAGTCCAGTGATTGTTTTTGAACTTGCAACCAATACTGGCATTGTCCCGGATATGTGCAACGATGTCCATTCTGGCCAAATCATCGGCCGACTCACCTCCCAAGTCAGTGTCGATGCCAATCGCTTGCCAGGTTGTCATCAGAGTAGAATTCCTCGTCACTGCAGATCGTGGGACTACCAGCATCAATTCCTTTTACGCTCGATGAAAGTGTCGCCCTCAAATGACTCGTCGCTATAGCCATCATCGTCTTCCTTCTGTTTCCGACTCGAATCCTCAAAATATTTTATCCTGCGCATGGATTGCGATGATGTCGTCTTCTTCCGCTCCGCCGTACATTACCACTACTAGGCTTTTCTGTCGATACATCGATGACGATCAGTTTTAGGCGACTCAGCGCAACATGGAATACAAACTCTAACAAATAAACTTACTTGCAACAAAGGATATGCATCCGGAACAGTCCAGTCGACCGAGGAGAACAACAACAGCGACTCGCGTTGCACTGTACTTCGTATTTTTTGCCGCGGAATTCAAATCGCGATTATCTCGACTTTTTCAAAAAAAGCTGTGGTCATGTTTTAGCGCGCTCGGGCTCATATACAGTCCTGCTCAATGAAATCCAGTAGTCTCACTCAAGTTCCCAGCCCAGTGTTCGCAGGTCTAGCGCTGCGCCATGTAGGCCCAGACAGATTCTGCTCCGGTCGCCTCGATATTTTGCGGCAAAATATTGCTGCGAAATCTTCGATATTTTGCCGAGCCTGGCACAAGAAACTCGATATTTTGCTCCGGGAAAACGTGTATTATATCCACATCCCGTACAATCCCGTACGACGTTTCATAAAAATCGCAGGGACGGTTTCTCAACACGGGTTTCAACTCATGTGTCCCTGAATTCTTCCAAAACCAAGTCGATCCACAGTGAATCCCAGAGATATTTCGGTGACATGACCTCGGCCTGGGCAGTGTATTCTGCTGATCTGAACGGGTAAAAAACAAGGAGATCCAAGTATCAGGCATCGGTTTTACCCAACATCTCGATATTTTGCTCCGATTTTGCCGCCAATTTCCACTCTTTCAATTCTTCGATATTTTGCGGAAAGAATTGCCGGCAGGATCTGTCTGGGCGTAGCGCCGTGCCCAGCACGTACATGAGTGACACGACTGGATTTCACTGAGCAGCGGTGTCCATTCGCCGCGTGATTCCTGCTCTGCACAAGGGCATTCTACACCATGGCACACACGGTGCAAACAGTAAGACCATGGTTATACCACTTTTCGTCAAAGGTGGTCCGTCCAGAGCAGCCATAGGGCGCTAAAGGTCCACCAAGGTCGGCTGAGCAGCAGGGCCCTGCCACCACTTTCCGCATTCATTCGGGAGCATAGCGGACTTGGTAAAAAATTAAAAAATAAATTAAAAAGACGTGCCCTGATGGCAAAGAATGTGATTTTTCCCCCGGGGACACCCCATAACCCCGGTCATACCACTGTCCACTGCCCTGTGACCATGACCCGGGTACCCCTGCATGGCCATTGGAAAGTCTGGCAAAATGCATTACAAAGTACTCGGCCGTTGTGTTTCAGCTTTCGGGCACAGAGAGCAGGCTGTCTTCTGTCCAAACACATCATCATTATAGCGCTGTTTTTTACTCTCCTGTCACATCCAGATACATAAATTTAAATAACTATGTGTTCATCCACCTGGCTCTGATAATAACATGGAAAGGCGTGTTGCTGGTACACACTCAGCTGCACCATGAATGTAAGTGTCATTGCATGATGAATGAACAGTGTCCTGGACTGTGATTGTCCATGCGGTCCAGAGAGGTTCCGGCATTGAACACAATACGGGCTTGCCGACTTTAACCCGACATCAGCGTTGTACTGCAATGGTGTTCTAAGCTAATGTAGGACACATTCAGCTCGGCCAGTGTGGGACGGTGATCGACACTACTGGCCTTTCGTAAACTCCACAGTCAGCGTCTCAGATACTTCAATGTTTGAAGATGAACCTCCAATAGGGGTTTGCTGCCTGTGACCCGCATCAGCGTTGAACAGCACTGCCAAACATAGCGTTAATGGTGGCATTGCCGGATACGACACAATGTAGCATTGCCCAATACGGCATTCTATGGTATCGCTGAGCGAGGCATACCATGAAATCACTGAATACGGCATCATATAGCTGCTTACGCCAATACCTCATAAAACGATCTTAGGCCGCGGTCACACATGCACTTTATTGGCGATTCCGCCAAAGCGTAAGTTATGCTTCCGCCGTTGCCTCGGCAACGGCGGAGGCGTAAGTCACGCTTTGGCGGAAAGTTTGGATTTCGCTACGCCAAAAAAATGCGAGAGAGAGAGAGAGAGCGAGAGAGAGAGAGAGAGAGAGAGAGAGAGAGAGAGAGAGAGAGAGAGAGAGAGAGAGAGAGAGAGAGAGAGAGAGAGAGAGAGAGAGAGAGAGAGAGAGAGAGACAGAGACAGAGACAGAGAGAGAGAGAGAGAGAGAGAGAGAGAGAGAGAGAGAGAGAGAGAGAGAGAGAGAGAGA